CACTTCCAAACGTACCTACATGACATATTCTAATTTTTTTTCATTACACACGGGTATAGGTGATGGGCATGCCTCATGTCTCTAGCTAGATTATACGTTCTGACCTCATTTACAGGGAGATCGTGGAAAAAAGTATATTTTATCTTAGAGTGGCCTATTCAAGCTAGAAGCACATTTCGAAGAAGTTTATAGAAAAACGACTAAGAACAATATTTAATTAGGGTTCATAAAATGACAAGTTGTAGTAGTAGACTTTGGAAACGTTCTCAAGACCACAATCTATGGGTGCAATGAAAAATAGTAGTAATCGTTTACGACCTCCATTGGTTACGTATTCCGCAGGTTTTCTTCGAACCATCTATAAGTATGAAGTCCAGATGCTAACAACATCTTGCATCTTGAAGAGTGTGCTGAACTGGAAAGCAGAAAATGTGGAGCTCTCTCTTAGTAACCCGAACAATCAATGCCCGAACGCAAAATAATTTTTCTCGATTAGAACAAATACAGAATACAGCTTCTAACACTATTTTTCTTAAAGAAGGAACGGGATCTTACTTTAAATTTTGAATGGTGCCACGTTCCCGTTATACCGTACCTAAACTCAATCAATATTATATAACACCAAAACATTAATTAAACACACTAAAAACGAGGACACGAAATTAAATAAAATAAGCTGCAGTATAAGACACAAACACGCCATTAATACAATTACATCTTTGTTATCCGGATTATGTAATTATTGCTGGGAACACCAAAACATGTGGTCTTATAATGAAACTTAATACCATAAAGTCAAGATTGAAATCGTATACTTCTTTTTAGGTTAGGTATCCTTAGAAGACCCTCGGAAAATATCGTGTTGGCGCGTCGAGATTGAGGTAGGGACAAGGAAAATTAATACCAACGAGAAAATGAACGCCATTTCTTAATAGAAATTATAACACGAAATTGTAAACAAACTTTTACTGCCGTTCGATAATGGAAAGACAGGAAAGTTGCGTCGGTGCAAATTGTCCTCAAACGCCAAATTAGCGTGTCGCGAACTGTTTATTTACTAGATTCGGTAATATCGTAAATGTGAGAAAATTGCGAAACAATTATGATCCACAAAATCACGAGAATAATGCAAATGTAAATAAACTGGACCGCATCGAAAAATTCACGGTGATCATTTAGAACAAGAGAAAGTTTCATATAAATGCCTACTTTGATTATTAATTACGAGTTGTTGCCATTTTTTTGATCATCAAACGCGTGAACTAACTCGAAAACGTTAATGTATATTTAAGTGGATTGCAATTTTGAGTGTTTTATATCTCGATCGCTGTGGCCTCATTGCGCTTAAGTGCTTCAAATTTATGTCAGCACGGGGTGCCATTAGCATTTCCAATGATATCGTTTGAAGACATAATTTTCTCCACTTTCAAAACTTCTGGCAATCCGTTAAGTTATTTTACTTCCCAATCATTATTAAACGCCACATATTGTGCAAATCAAAACGGTTCGGTGTCAGTGTCGCAGTCTCGCTTTCCAATCCAGGGCAAAGAGCATAGGTGTAGCTATTGATTACTCGGTCCATTATAATTAACAACTCATGTGAAGTTACGTACCAATTTCAAATTACCCTTGTTTAAACACACGTAAAAAATCACCGTAAATGATTTATTCTTTAATTTACATAACACATGAATGGTAACGAAATTTTTTGGAACAGAAAAATAGTATGGAGAACATTGTAGAATTTCAAAAGTATCGGTAAAGAGCATCTGCCGAATTTCTTAGGCATCTGCGAAGAACATCTGAATAACACCTATGAGCAATATCTGGAAAATCTCGATCATGAATCAATAAACATTATGTCGAGCATTATGTGTAGAATATTTCAGTGAAGATTTGAAAAGCGTTAAAGACCTAAATATGGATACTCGTGAAAATTCCATCAAATCTTCAAAAAATTCTGAATCTTGAAAATGTTTCTGAAAAATATTTCATAAAAATCTGAGGAATCCTTTAATAATTTTTGAAAAGCTCCCAATAGCTGAAGTACTCCAGAAGAATCTGTAAAAATCCTACATCAAGAATCAAGAATAAACATTTTATTTAAAAAAATTATTTTTATTCGTAATGTCTTTGAGCGCGAAGAATGAGCAGATATCAAGGATATCACTCAGTTGACAAACATAAGCACGCCTTACCCGGGGTTCGAACCCAGGACCTTTCTAACCGCAATCGGTGTCTATGACAGTTACTATGAGGATTGCGGACTATAAAAAAGAACTCCATATTAGCGCCGCTTAAGAACCTCTGAAAGAGGAATCCATTTTTTTTTATTATAATTACATCAAGTATGTTCGTCAAGTTGGAATCTCATAAGCATAACAATTTCAATAAACCATTAGGGCACAAAAATTGTATGACAGCAAAAAATAACAGTAACAGTACAGAGTGGTTTAAATTCGTGATGGACCATTGGGATCTCTGAATCTGAAACACCATATTGGATTTTTACGAAATGAACGTAAACATTTGATTTTGAAATTTTTCTTGTAAATTTATGTAAAAATGTAGAGTACGAAACGTCATTATCTTTCTTTCTTTGTCCTCTATATCATTCGACTGCGAGCAATCTGGCAATAATTACTCACTATACATATTACTGAAGAACTTGATAGCCACGGCCAGTTCGACGTACTGTATACTGACTTCGTGAAAGCGTTCGATGGAACTAAATTAAATATCTCCAAGTGTAGTCTAGTTACTTACACATGTACAACTACCACTATTCAGGATCTTGGGGATTATTTCGATAGCCAATTAAGTTTTGATCACTATATTCTTAATTGTTCACCGTTGTTCACGATCTGAAACATCTACCTATGTTGGGATTGATATTACGAAACTGTAGAACTTTTAGCATCAAATGCTCTCATTAGGTAATAATAAAACAAATTGACTGTCTTGAAATTGTGCAACGTAATTTAGAGATACAGTTTATCTTCCTACGGGGTTCGATTATACATTGTTGCTGCGCAGATTGGATGTCTTCTCATTACAAACTAAACACGAGATAATTACCATACCGTTTCTTTATAAAGTGTTGAACAATACGATTGACTGTGAAGACCTACTCAGATGTAATTTCATTCCTTATGCCTGTTTTCCTCAAGTTACCCGCTACAGGCTACATGCTTGCCTAACTATCCCATCCCTATAACACGAACCTTTTGTACAAATCGGTTATACGGCAGAGTTCTCGTAAGTCGTAAGTTGCCTAGCGAGATTGACATTAATAGCTGAGCTATCGGATATAACTAAAGCGATCACTAACACTTAGCTATCTATTGATTTTGCAGTTTTGTTTGTTTCTGCTCTTATATTAGTTTACTTTTGTTTATATTTACTATTACATTATGATAAACAAACTAGGAGAATCGTTTTATTTTGCTTTCAATTTCTTACATGTATTCTGTAATTGGATCTTTGTGATCTTTAGAGCATTAAACATTATTATTCAGTAGGAATCCAATATGGCGTCCGTAAGAAATAAGGAAATAGTAGCCTGCAGCTTTTATAGAAGGTGCCAAGGGAAACCGTCCATTTCAGGTCGTTTAAGCTAGGAAAATGAAAACGAAATGTGGCATTTTCAGTTTTTCCATGAAATCTCTTATTTTCAAAAATTTGAAATACATATAACGACATGCGATTTTAATGCATTAGCATTGCTGTAGATACGAACCAAGTGCTCATCAGCGATTGTATACTCGTAAACGAACAAGCAATCGACGTTTTATACTTCATATGCATAAGTTGTATTCCAAACGGTTTGTGACGCCTTTGAAATCGACAAGACTAATTGTAAAACGGAAGTTTCTCAAGGAGCATATTATTCAATCCGGCCAAACCCGGGTATATTTTCAAAATCACGAATCTTTAGTTAGCGAAACTCAAGTTACCCGGCATAAATAAATCAACTGATTAAAAATAAATTATTTAATAAACGAACTTTTGTTAATTGTCGCAAAACAAACCGTTTTTTCAAGTGCTGAGACATCCACCTTTCCAGCGAGCATTGCTCGTCCCCATACAGCACTACACACTATTGCCTCACATGTCCGTTTTTACCTAGGCCGGTCAGATTTCCCGACCTTGCACCTATTGAACATGTGTGGGACATTGTGGGTAAAAAGATGCTCTAGAAAAACAAACAACAAAATTTGCTCCGTAACTACAGGAAAATGTCCTTCAAAAACGAATTTTGATTGTTTTTGCAATTAGTAGTTAGCAAATGGAATAGTATACTAGGTTTAAAAGCCGTCTCGGACTCTCGAAAGCATTTGTGCTTAAAATAGCCGATCGATATTTCATATTGTTCAATAAAATTCGTACACACAAAATGCTAAGAAACAAGTGCCGAATTTTGCACTTGGCACGAAGCCAAAAAACAAAGCAACAGTAACGATTCGCTACGTACCCGACTTTTTTAACAAGGCAATGGCCATCTTTCACGAACGCTATTAATTACCGTCTGCGAGATCGTCGCCGAGGCACCACTATACTCGATGTCTAACTAAAGTGCGATTAGTTCCCGAGTTTTGCCTCTAATTGCATTACACTGGAAAACGTTGAAATGACCTCCCCGATTGTAAAAATTATGCGGTTTGGAATTTCAAATAGTTGGAAGGTGTCCAAAAGAGCCGGTTTTGTGATATATGGATCTGGGACCAATACACCATGTAAATCATTGCAAACGACGTTTTATTTACCTACTCTTTAAGCATTTAGCACTTTGATGTTCATGATAAAAATTCATCTAATTTAGGCACCATTTCACTCTTTAGATTGGAATAATGGTAGCGAAATACTAAATCGCTAACCGTCGACATAAAAAAAGT